GAAAGTAACAGAAAAAAAAAAGAAAGTTTAGATTGAATGATTTTACGACGTCAACAGTTGTTGGGTTATCTAATGTCGAATTATGTATGAGGCACCCAGTGAGGATCGAACTCACAACACAGTGTAAATGGTCAATCAGCCAAGCCTCGTTTTGGTCGTTTGATTGTACGACATCAACCGTTATTGGCTTATTTAATGTTGCCTTTTGTATGGGACATCCGGGGAGGATCACAATCTCTACACAATAGTAATGATCAACCACGCAAATAAAGAAGGAAAGATAGGAAGAGAAAGAAATGAATGAGTAAGAAAGAGAGAAAAAAAAGGAACAGAAACGAAGAAAAAGAAAAGAAAATAGAAAGAAGAAAAAATTTTAAAAAGAGAAAAAAAAATGAGTGTTAAGCTTGGGAAGAAGATGATAAAACGGAAAGAAATTCTTAAAACTGATAAGCGAACACATCTTTCAAAGAAAGTTTTCTTTGGATAAACTGATTGATTTTTTTTACAGCTTATCAACATTTTGCAGGCTAATTCAAGCCAGAAAATATTTTTTAGATTCTAAGAAATTCTTTTTTAGATTTACTGATAACTACTACTACTACTAATACGGATACACGATCTACTAATTAACCCATAGCTGGGGGAGAAGATCTGAATTTATACCTTTCCTGTATTTGCACGTAAGCGAATGTAACGAACCCGACTGGAATTAGAACACGGCCCTCCAATTTCCGACCTCAAATCGTTATACATTAAACTACCCGCACATTCATTTATAGATGCAAATATTTAAGTAAATAATTGTCAGACTTTGTCCATTCCATAATGTGCGATGTTTATATTTGGATTTGCGTGAGAGATTCATGGAAGATTGAAGTTTAAAGACAGTAAATTCGGCCTTGCTAGCCGAACGCTCCTCTGTGGCCAAATCGGTTAAGGCACGTCAAGCTATATGACGGTTCCGTATAGGATACTGGTTCGAATCCTGTCGGAGGACGAATATTTTCTGTGAAAATTTCTTGGACATTAAGGCCAGTAAATGTTTAATACTGTTTATTATAAACAGAGCATTTACTTAAATATTTGTATCTATAAAAAGAATGTATAAACATAAAAATGTCTAAAATAATTATCCATTTCATAATATATATATATATATATATATATATATATATATATATATAAGATACAGATATAGATAGATAGATATGAACTTATTCAGATAGAAAAAAAGAAATAGATGAAAAGTTTCATGACCAACATATTGAACTGCTTATTAAAAGTTATCTATATATAATTATTTTACACACCACTGCTATCGCTTTATTACATCCTATTTATCTATCAATTTATCTATCTATCTATCAGATTTTATTCATGGCCAAATGTACCAGTCTGTATACATTTTATTTATTCATGATAAACTATGGTATCACAAGCAAATGAGTAAAGTAACTAGAACATACATTAAACAGAATCGTCTCTCCAAATGCCTGTCTTGAAAATCAGAAATTGATTTTTTATGAAATTAAAAGACGTTCTAAGACAGGAGTTTGGAATACTGCAGCAACAAATCAAGACTGATATAAATATGTAAATATGAAAACATTCTTATAGATAGATAGATAGATAGATAGATAGATAGATATAGATAGATAGAAAATGTGAACAGAGTGTTATAGATAGATAGATAGATAGATAGATAGATAGATAGATAGATAGATAGATAGGAACAAAATGTTAGTCATAGATAGATGGATACATAGATAGATAGGAACAGACTGAGGTAGATAGATAGATAGATAGATAGATAGATAGATAGATAGATAGATAGGAACAGACTGAGATAGATAGATAGATAGATAGATAGATAGATAGATAGATAGATGTGAACAGACTGTTATAGATAGATAGATGGATAGATAGATAGGAAGAGACTTTTACAGATAGATAGATAGATAGGAACAGACTGAGATAGATAGATAGATAGATAGATAGATAGATAGATGTGAACAGACTGTTATAGATAGATGGATAGATAGGAACAGACTGTTACAGATAGATAGATAGATAGATAGATAGATAGATAGATAGATAGATAGCTACATAAATATATAGAAACAAACTAAGATAGATAGATATAAATAGACTGTTGCAGAAATATAGATAGGAACAGACTGTTATAGATACATAGATAGATAGATAGATAGATAGATAGATAGATAGATAGATAGATATTGTGACTGATCCGAGGTATTTTACACACACTACATTGACTGAGGAAAGCCCAGAAATCTGAGATCTGATTAAAAACGTTTTGATCAAATGTTTGTCGTATAAAAGTTCAGTCGACCCACTGTACTTGCTTTTGTTGAATTGTATAACAGAAACAAGAATAGATGGGCATAAATCCTTTTGATCAAAAGTTGGTGGGATTAAAAGAATCTCATTTTAGAAGATTGCTATCTGTAGAATGGATCGAGAGAAAAACTAATGATAACAGACTAGAATATTTTTATTTTAATTTTCATTGGTTAGACATGCAGGTTTTGTTTCTGTGTGTGACACAATGGATGGAAGGCATACACGTAGTGGGGAGTGGTGTGTGATCTCGATCTTTCATGTTTTATGACCATAGACAAATCTGTGAGGTATGGTCTTCAAAGCAGTTAATCACTTGACCGACAGGGGATAGAAGAATAAATTACAGACTGATGGCTTTTGAGGTAAAGCGTCAAGAAACCGGATATTGATGTTTTCCCGTTGCTGGCGTATATTATCTTTCACAATTGGGATTAAATTAGCAATTTCTGTTCTGTCCTTATCGGGAAACATACTTTCCATGGGGTTGTTCTAATTTCGTCCCTAGGTGTTGCCAACTACGCTTCATGATGCTGAGAATAACAAAGAGTTGGGTGGAAGAAAAGTAGAATGGAAGAGCTGATCTATGAATCGGACACTGCAGAGGTTATTCAAAGTCTTATCTATCTACCGAGTAAGTGAAACCATGAATAAACACCTAAATATATTAAAAACAGGGTCCGAGTTCTTATTACATTTAATTACATTGTGAGCTTGCAGTGGACCTTTTCCCAGTTTTTGATGCACGCCGACCTGAACGAGAATCGGGAAGTAACGTTGAGTAGTCATTTCACGGTGAGAAACTGGGTGGAGCCCCTTGTCTATTTAGATCTACATCATTTTTTTTTTACGTAATCCTCTTCAGAATCTTCCGCAGATACGAGATATTTACACAAATATTTACCTAATTAGGCGGAAATCAATGTTCTATGATATAAAGGGAAAATATTTCAGCTTTGAAATTCAGAATCCTGGCATCTGCCCGAGCGCGAACACTGGCTGTTTGCCTCGGGGTTCTTGATAAGATCCAGAGACGGATATGCAATATAATTGGCCCTGATCTGGCATCTCGTCTGCAGTCGCTCTCCCACAGACGTACCGTCGCCTCTCTCTGTCTTTTTTTGACAAATACTTTCATGGTAATTGCTCCGATGAGCTGCTTTCGCTGGTTCCCAGACTTCACGAATTCAAGCGTCCTATGAGGCTGGCATCCCACTCTGACCCTTTCACTGTTGAAACTGTGAAATGTAGCCGTCTTTTCTATTCCAATAGCTTCATGTCTCGCACCTCTCGCCTGTGGAACTCCCTTTCCTATTCCTGTTTCCCTGATAGCTATAATCACCAACTATTCAAATGTAATGTCAATCGACATCTCCAGTTGACTTGATCTATCCACTATCCTTCTCCTCATCCTTCTCCTCTATCATTCCTATCTGCTCTCGCTCCAAATCCTCTATAACCCCTTGCGTGCTAGTTGCTTCCCGTATTGCTAGGGGTGAAATCCTTAAAAAAAAAGGTCATTCTTATGCCTTTGTCTATTCTGTAGACAGATTTTCTCTCATCATTATAGTATGCTATTTCAGTGCAATTTTATTTCAGTATCACCAATATATATATATATATATATATATATATATATATATATATATATATATATATATATATATATATATGGTAAATAAATAACTGATCCAACCATAAACAATTACATTTGGCGAAGAATTGAAATTGATCCAGTTTTAGACTTACACGTACACACACATCCGAAAAATAGCGTTTTAAAATATCATTTGCATTTTAGTCCATTGTCTAGTAACGATCGATTGTCTACAGATTTAGTAGTAAAGGGTATAATTTGTTTTGACTATATTTAATATGGATGGAATTTGGATTTTGTTTTCCTCTTTCTAACTGTTTATTTCTGTTTAACACCGATCACGTTTTTCATTCTTTCTTTCTTTACTAAGTCACTTCATATCTATCTATCTATCTATCTATCTATCTATCTATCTATCTATGTTTATATTTATCTTTGTTCATCTCTCTCTCTCTTTCGCTCTCTCTATCTATCTATCTATCTTTGCTTATATTTAGCTTAGTTTCTTCATATCTATCTATCTATCTATCTATCTATCTATCTATGTTTATATTTAGCTTAGTTTCTTCATATCTATCTATCTATCTATCTATCTATCTATCTATCTATTTTAGTTTATTTATATTTATCTTAGTTTGTTTCTATCTATCCATTTATCTATCTATCTTTGTTTATATTTATCTTAGTTTGTTCGTATGTATGTATGTATGTATCTATCTATCTATCTATGGGTGGTTATGATGTATATATATATATATATATATATATATATATATATATTTACATTTCTCTATAACGGAACAATGTTAAGCTACTGAATGAAACATTGGAAAATTTTGTGTTTCGCGTTTCGTTTTCTAAAAGGATATCATCACACTAAAGTAATGCTGTTATTGATGGAGTTATGCATGTCTAGTGGGGTGACAGTTGATATAAATGTACATGTCGATTATAATTAAACATCAACAGGAAGTGCTGAGGTAATGGGAACGTTAATGATCTTAATTTTTTAGTTTCAAAATTTTATGTTTTAAAATCTTTC